TGATCTAGGGTCTAACATCCGTTTCGGCTGGCGTCAGTGATTACGAAAGATTATATTAACATTAAATTTCCTATTTTTCTGCATGCACTAAGACACTGCTGCTATGAATTGTAACAAAAGTAAAATAAAGCTATCCCTATAACAGGCCGTGAAGGCCCATAGGGTTGTGAGACGTTTAGGGTCCCACATTATCTAGACAATCGGCTCAAAGTTTGCGGTAAGGTTGTCAGCCTTACGCGCCGGCCGCGCTTTACTCCCCAGGAAGATTCCTGGAACTCATTTCTGTTAGAGGCTGAGTCGACCCCAGGGCCATAGTGCGGCTGGAAGGATTAGGTCAATTACAATTTAATGCGGTTACCCGAAGCTCAAGTAGTGTGTTGTTTTGAATTACTGATTTTCCGGACCTTGCCTGTGGACTGATGCAGGGGGTCCCAAACCTTTTCGGAAGCCCACCCACTTGTTTCCATAAACCCATCTCAATTGCACCCTGTCCTTCCCTATAAGAAACATTCTTCATAACGACGTTTTGCAGAACCCACTAAGAAGATTATAACAGTAAAATAATATGAAGGCCCATAGGATTGTGAGACGTCGAGGCTCCCAAATATTCTCTAGACAATCGGCTCACAGATGACGGTAAGGTTGTCAGCCTTATGCGCCGACCGCCCTTTACGCCCCAGGAAGATTCCTGGTACTCATTTCTGTTAGAGGCTTAGTCGACCCCAGGGCCATAGTGCGGCTGGAAGGATTAGGTCAATTGAAAAAATCCACCTCGTCGGGATTCGGACCCGCGACCTTCCTGTTTGTAGCATAGCGCCTCAACCAACTACGCTACCGCGTGCCCCACTAATTTCTCAGTGTCTGGTCTGAAGTCACTTCATTAGTACATAAGGCAACAAAGCGCCTGGAGGGGCCCACCTCCAGCACCACTTTATGCCCCTATAAAATCCCCGCCTCCCAAGGTGACGGAACGGCCTACTTTGGGAACAACTGGCCCAACAGTGCCTAGTAGACCAGATGCTTCCTCGCCCTTGACCTGAGGACGGAAATAAATCTAGTCTACGAAACGCTGTATCCTTATACGATGGGTAAGGTTATAAATTCCGTAATCAGAGTATAAAACACCATCGTCAGAACCCGTTAGAGCGGAATTTGTCCGTTTTCTCAGATGTGGGTACCCCAGAGTTCAGAGCATTGGAGGACCATCTTGCAGTGTGTGCGTTGAGCACTTGGGTGAAGGATGGGCCACACATTTCTTGCATTCTCTTTTCCTAGTGCTCATTACCTTTCACAGAATCCTGCCATTGGCTATTATCTGCTTCTAGATTTACAGTATGGCAGCGGTAGCTCTGTCGGTACAGCGACTGGACGGCAGAGGGGTCGGGGTCAAGAATTTTCTCTTCTCCACGTCGTCAAGACCGACTCTAGTGCCCACCTAACCTCATATCCAATGGATACCGGACGCTCTTTCCCCGGAGGTACGCCGAGGTTACGTTTTAATGGCGCGAGGCTTTTCTAAGCATTGGGGCAAATTTATCTACACGGTGCACCATACACATTTTGGCTTACCTGTCCTCCACCACTTTTGTTGCGTCAAAAACAGGACTGAATTTGATTCTTCTCAGTTAAAATTCCCGTTCCTAATTTGCATTCCTACCTTGGTAATGCATGAAATTTGCAGGGTCATACGAATACAATGAAACCTTCTCTGCACAAGTCCTTGATTGATAATAATTCCTGTCACTTCCACCAATGTTTCCACGTGGCAATCACATGTATTTTCTTCTGTGAGTTGCCCCGCACGACGTACATAGAGAAACCTTGATATATAACATATTCATAAAGTTCTTGATGCATTACTTAAACACGAAATGTTATTGTTGATTGGTGAACTAGTGATCACCGTACTCTTAGGGGCGTCACGTCACTACAAGCTTGCACACGCACATAAGAACGGCGAAACTATACATCCACTACACATATGTCCTCATGGCATAATGCGTAATTAATTAGCAGAGGTGCAGCTTGTTTTTGTTCTGTCAAAACCTCGCAGGCTGAGACACAGCACTGCTCAGCTGGAGGAAGAAATGAAAGGGTCAGTACTGGACTGCATTTTGAAAACGAGTGAAGTATTTCAAAACATTAAAATTAGAAAGGTAAATTTACCCTTGTGCTTAATTAATAAAGCACCATGCCATGAAGACGTATGGGGGATTGGAGCTATAGCTCCACCATTCTCTACCTCAGCATTAGATGGAGGTGAGTGGTCAGCTTCACACCCTAGTCGATTTACCCCTGAGTAAATAGCCCCCAGTACCCATTGTATAAGAGGCTGGATGAACCCCAGAGGCGATCTGGCAACGATACACACACAGACTGATGGGAGGGTTTTATGAAGCACGCCACTGAGATGAGCTCAGGTGCCGTGATATACATACCAAGTTTCATAATTCAAAGGTTGATGGGGGGGGGCGAAACATAGACACATACATCATTGAGGTCACATAGGCCTGCTTCAGGAAAAAATGTACAAGACCCTCAAAGGAAGAGACCACTTTGGAGATATAGGCCCAGATGTAAGAATAATATTAAAAGGGATGTTAAAGAAATAATATGTGAAGACACTGACCGGATTCAACTGGCTAAGAAAAGAGAACAAGCAATAATGTAGAAAGTAAATTAAACTTCGGTTTCTATAAAATTCTTTCCTAGTAGAACGACAGTTCGCTTCTCAGGAAGGATTGCGCTACATGGCTTTAGAATGCGGGCACCAGAGCCCAGTGCCTCTTGATACATACATGTTTTTTTTAAGAAAGAGGAAATACATATATTGGCAGTTCTTTGTTTCTGGGGTATTTTGTTTGAAATTATTCTACAGGATAGATCTTTGGAACCTTTCATCCAATTTCAGTGGACCTGTCGTCGATTTCCCTAGAAGATGTTGTAAACTCAGAATTTCCAGCTGTCATATTTATATGTAACGGCCACGAATTCAGAATATTTGTTATAGTAGGGTTAACCCCCTTATTGAGTAAGCGTATTGTCATCTGTAGGGGGTGTGCGTGACTTATAGACGGGTTTTGGATTGGATGATTGAATTTATCGACACTTTATACACTCAACTCGTAACTACAATTAATTATAGCGCTATAGCCATTTTCACACTAATATCCACAGTCTCCACTAGTCGTATCGTGGCAACGGATTCATAACAGTCTCACTGTAACCGCAGCTATGAAAACTTCTTTGCACAGCCTAATACCTTTCTTGTCATTTCTTCTCAATTGTTCGGCCAACTGCTAACTCCGAAGATTCAAATTTCCGCTGCGACTGCCAACTCCTGAACTCGACTCAATTCTAATCCTAGCTTCCTGAGATCCTCATTTTATAGTCCCGGGGCGGCCCCAACAGAAAACACCGCTTCCTCTGTTGTTGCATGTTGATACACTGCTACATAGATGTGTTTACAACACCGTTGAGTAGCAACGAGCGCGGCGCGGACCACAGAAAACATCTTTCGTCTAGTGTTTCGCGCGTTCGCTTCCGCTATGTCTTTACTTAGCCGTTGCCTAGCAATGAACTATTCCGGCTTTCAGGCGTCATATTACAGTACCCTTTATTGTTGTTTCGGAAACAGACTACTTACTGTTCTATAAAAGCACAAACGTAACGAGAACCAAGAAGAAACAGAGACAGGAAGGGTAAACGCAGAAGAAAGAGAATTTGAAGCAGGCAGAGAAGAAGAAAATGCTGCTGCCAGTGAAAATGATGACCGAGAAGGAGAGGGAGAGAAAGTTCAGGTTGTGGAGAATGGGAAAGATAATGGAAGTTAAGTGTTTATTTAGCAGGCCTGGGAATTAGAGTCGCCATTTAGGTGCCTCGGTGTCTTCAGGTATTTGATATCGGTCTTCTCTGTTCTATAGCGCCCTCTCTACAAACAAATGGAGACGTGGAGACCGAACCATGGGTGTAAAACATTGCCTGCTTCTTGTATGAAGTACCATTAACAAAATCGATTTATTTGATTTTAATTTGTTTAGATTTCTTTCTTTCTTTCAGACATACTCCTATGGTCCAGTGGCATCTAGTGGTTACAGAGACCGTTGCTTGGAATCCTTAAAGTCACAATAATTCTGTTTACATGTGTAGACCGTTGTGTAGAACTGTGCGTCTGATTCAGCCATAAATCCTTCAAGAAATCATGAAAATAGGAATGAAATATTCCGCTTATTTATCTCCACCGCAATAAACATCATTATAAATGTAATCGGCCGATGACAGTGGCCGCGCGGTCTAAGGCATGAACTGTCTTCGCTCCCTCGAACACTGGGATCGTAGGTTCGAATCCCACTCAAGGCATGGATGTCTCTGTGTGAGTTTATTCTATATTTGTGTTGTCCTGTGTGTAGGTATCAGCCTTGCGACGGGCTGATCCCCCGTCTGAGGAGTCCTAGCGACTGAAAAAAGCAGCCAAGGTCAAATAAAGCACTGTAGAGCCATAGATAATATAGATAAATATAATCCTTAGACTAAATTTTGGACACCCGCATCATTTTAATGCCCATTAACCAAGAGAAAACAGACGTCAAACAAATACCCAACCAATCATGTAATTAAAATGTAACGTCAGCCATTCCGCCTAAATGGCTTCACAGTGAGAATAGCCAAAAGATGAAACAAAATTAAACAAATGAACATCTTGACATGCTGGCATATGTCAAACATATATCACCATTTTGCTCTCTCTTTAATTGTTCTTTTCTCAACGTCCAAGGACATTTTGTGGTTGAGTTTTTTCTCAGTTTTCGTGGTTAGTGGAGATTGTGTCACGTAATATTCTGTGGTGGTAAAGAGATAAAGCTTGCCCTATTCTCTCCATCCCTGTAGAGATTTTTGTTGTTTGAATGTTCCTTGGACTCCTTCCTCCTGTCCTCCCCGCTCATGCACTAGCTCCCACTGGTAACCAGACAAATCACCTGCGGTAGGCAGTCTACTGCTACACGTGCAGGCAGTAGCTTGTTGAATGTGTTCTTTGCTACATGTAGTCAATAACAGCGTATTTTAATGTCAGTACAGAATACAGTGCAACGATTAATGATTTCTAATAAACTCCATAATATTTACAGGTTCATTGGGGAGGAAACGACAAGTGTTACACGGTTTTCTTATCAGTGTGAGACTTAAATGTTTACGAAACTTATAGATCTGTTGTTATATAAATCGTCAAGAAAATTGCAAGAGAAATGTGTTGTGAGTTGTATCGTGGCAGTTTTACAAGTGTTCTTGGTGAAAGACGACATGAGAGTTATTAATGTCCCAATGAAATACACTGGATGTGCAGAATATTATGTATTTTAGGTGAGTTAAGTCTCTTTCTAACTGATCAGCTGTTTAAATATACTGCGATTTGTCGTGTTACGTACCGCTTTAAAGCCACGTATCAAAATGTCATCAGTGCTGGCGTGTTCCCGTTAGTGGTAGGTTATTTACCAAGCTTTGCTCATCTTCCAAAAGGATCATTATCTGACACCCACATTGTAACCCTTTACAATTCTTCTGTTTTCAAACTAGAAGATCGAAACTTGTTATTTCGTCCACTAATGCCTTCGTCATTATAAATGAATGCCAAATTTGACCTTAAAATAACAGGCAGCTACATGTTATTGCATGGGAAGAAGTTACTTGTAAAAGAAACTTTTTTATTCGTCATTTATCAGAATAAAATATTGATTAATCTGCTGGGTCGATAGTGAGGGTAGCAGAGTTGCCGACACTACGTCGCCAGTAGAGCAGCTGTTTTCATTGCCGACCTTGATATGAGAGACACTGCATAGATAAGGTTTTTGAGAAGCTCTTACTGGTGCAGGATAGCGTAGTCGGTATAACGACTGGCTACTGGCTGGACGACAGAGGGGTCGGAGTTCGGATCCCGGTAGGGTCGGGAATTTTCTCTTCTTGGGACCACCCAGCCTCCTATTCAATAGGTATGGGGGGTAAAGCGACCGGGACGTGAAGCTAAAAAATTACCCTCCCTTCATTCCCACCAGTGGACCCTATCCTGAGCTCAACGAATTGACGCCACACTCTATGCCTTTTTACTCCGAGATCCAATGTAGTTGCCACCCATCTACGTCTAGTTTTCCAAGTTGCTTCTTCCATTCAGAATTTCCGAAATATAAGGGTTATACATTTGTCATATTCGTATGTGTGCTACTTACCCCACCTATCTCACCCTCCTTCACTTTGTCCAACTAAGAGACTAATATTTTGTGAAGTCATTATTTCTTTATTTTTCCTTTTCACCTCATTAACTTAGTTTTTCTGGTTTTCTGTTTTGTTCTAGTAATCCTCATTTCTTTTACGCCGTCTATTATTTAGAGTAACGCCATTAATTTGTTTCGGATGCTGCAAACATTGCAATTTTGCCTGCTTCCTTTGATCCCATAAATGTGAACATTGTTCATCAGACCCTACACTATGCTGTCTTCACTCTTAACAATCCAGGCTGCCTTCGGCGAAAGTTTTGATATTGTTTCTAATATTCTTCCATTCCATCTTCAAATGTCTATGATATGCGGCGGGGTTTTCTTGATTTGTTCGTGCCAAAGATCGGCCCCGATTTGGTTTGCCCTATTTCTAAATACATTAATATATGGTGGAAATATATACGTGTAGTTTTGAACAAGAGGCATGTCAGAGCATGTAGTAACCGAGATTTGCGTTTATCATCATATTCACTAATTCCATTTCTATATATAGCAAAGATACTTAAAAGAAGAATTGAAAGGAAAATAAAGGATGTACTTGGAGAAGATCAGTTTGGATTTAGATGAGGAAAAGGAACCAGGGATGCAATTGGGATGATGAGAATTATAGCAGAACGAACTTTGGAGATAGATGAAGAACTGTGTGTTTGCTTCATAGACTGGCAGAAGGCATTTGACCGGGTAAACTGGACCAAATTAATGCAGATCCTAAAAGAAACAGGTATCGACTGGCGTGAAAGAAGATTGATTAGCAAATTGTACATGGATCAGAAAGTTAGAGTACGACTGGACAGAGGGGAGACAGGAAGTGTGCAGATTGGAAGAGGAGTTCGACAAGGATGCTGTTTATCACCAATTCTGTTCAACTTGTACAGCGAATGCCTTACCAAGGAAGCTCTGGATGGGCTCGGAGACTTCAAAGTAGGAGGGCAAATTATTCAAACTGTGAAATATGCAGATGACCTTGTGTTAATGGCTAAGGAAGAAA